GTAGCTTACTGCCTTGTTCAGCCTGCATTTCCATACACCCCAGGACCACCTGCCCGGGGGAGGTCCACCTACTGTGGGCAGGGCCCTCCCTGCGAATCATCCATGAAGGAAATTACTCAAATGCGAATCTGATAAGGCATTTCCTCAGTTGATGTTCTCTTAGACAACTTTAGCTTGTGTCAAGTTGACAAAAACCTAACCAGGATACCTCCAGTTCCCTCTTCTCCCCTCCCCCAAGCTATGCTCTTGGTAGCTCTCTGCTGCCCCCACTTGGTTCAGCATCTCCAGATGTGTGGACCCCACAACCAGATCCAGCCAGATCCAGCCACTCCAAGAAGAATAAGATTCAAGCAGTGTCCCTCTGGGAGGGGACGCCTGGCAGTGTTCAGTCAGGACTCAGCTCCTCTCAGGATCATTCTCAGAGCTTGTTCCTGTCAATCACTAGCTGGGGATGGGCACAGAGCCTGGTTCTGGAACTTTCCAAGGGATTTACCGTTGCTGTGTCATCGAGCTGGCAGGGGTTGGCACGCCGGACTCCACGCATAGAGCAGGATCAGGATTGTCACCTTTGAGGTGAAGGCCATGTGACATCTGGTGACAACCCTTGAGGTTGGAAATAAAACAGGACAATGGCCAACTTCATCCTCCGATTTGTGGAAAGTTGTGGTTCAGCCGAGCCTGTGTGAGGCTCAGACATGGGTCTGCTGTGACACCCTGATCTGTCAATCAGCCCAGTGAATGTCTGTGGCCATGATATTTCTTATGTTGATTTTTGAGGATGTTCTAGAAAGTTCTTCTCAGCCCTGGAGCTTTGTCTTCTCTCTGTAGCACCTGCTAAGATCTTACCTCCTTCCTCAAACTCGTGTGTGGCGTTGTGTGGTCCATGTCTATTCCCAGGCTCTCATCTGAACACCGGCATGAAGCTCCCAGCTTCCTTCTTTTCTCTGATTTGTCTTCCTGGACTTCACACCTTAGCAGATAGTGACGCGGTGCCCTGAACAGCCCAGTGGTGGGGGTTGTGGCTCACTTTGGGGAACTGGCAGAGAGTGAAAGCCCATGTGGACGATTGTTTCATTTGGATGTATGCTAAGCAACTTGGAGAATGACCATGACAGTGTGTCCAGACCTCTGACCAGGCCTCTTGGAGCAGGCCACCCTTGTACTGTGGACATGTGTCCTGTGCTTCTTCTTTATTTATACTCTTTCCACTGGGAGGTCTGTGTACCACCTCACAGGCCTGGAGTTCGCACAGAAACAGGCAGCACTTCCCCAGCTTCCTTCTCTGCAGCCTAGCACCAAGGTGCGGACCTGTAGAGGAAGAGGAGTGGAGATCTAATTTCCAGACAGTGACTCCCACTTGTGCTTTGGGGACCCACTGTGCCAGTGATGGAATCAAGCTTGGTCCTAGGATACCTTCTGCACTGACTGACCTCCTGTCTCAGGAACAGCGAGGCTGGCTTCATAGGCTGGTCCCACAGCTCTGAGTGATGCTGACTCTGCCCCCCTTGATGGCCCTCCATCCAGTGCCTTCTGTCCTCGGGTGTTCAGGCCCCAGCAGAAGAGTCTGTCAGCACATAGTCTGACCCTGCCAGCCGCCAGCAGACGGCCTGGGCACTGGGCTATTCCAGTTAGTACCACCAGGTGGTGCTGTGGACCGTGCAGCCGCAGGCCTCAGGCCTCACTAAGCCCCACTGATGGCTCAGCTTCCTTCCCTTCTTGACATAACTCATCTCTGTTCTTGTCTTCTAAGAAACAAGTTGGACAGAAGTAGGACTGGGGGCATTGCGAGTGAGAGAGGGGTGATCCCAGTCTTGTCCCCGTTGTAGTTACCACGTGATTACGAACCCCAAATCCATCTCCTTAGATATTCCACGTGTTCAGGAAAGTACCTTGAACTTGTTATTTTTTTTTCTGCTGTTCACATCAGATGTGGCTTACATTGTATAACAGGCTTATGTTAGCGAGGAGGAATTGGGTTTTGCTCAGAGATGCTTCCTGCCCGTTAGCAGGTTCCCTGTTGTGCTCACTAACAACTCCAAGTCAAAAAACCATAAGCCTACGTTCATATCTGGCTCATTGCACTGTGGATTGCTGGACTCAGTCTGGCCCGCTATGACCATACTCCAGTGCCCAAGCTCACCAAGCAAGTGCCTGGCAGCTGATAGTCAGAAGAAAATGTTTACCCCACTCTCTGGTTCTGCAAACTTCGGTCAGAAATAGAACACACCCACTGCCTCGTCATTGGCCAAAGCAAGTCACATGACAGCGCCTGGCCTGAAATGGATGAGAAGGTTAGTCCTGCTATGTCCCAGCAGGAGAAATGACAGGAAGATTAGCCTGGCTGCCAGCCACAAAACACCAGCTGGTTCATGGGTCCAGGTCCCCTCAGGCAGTGGGGTCCTGGGCTCAGCTAAGAATATGAGCAGCGGTTGCTTCGAAAGCGGTCGCAGCCTTGTGCTGGTCTGAGGGTTAAATGCCGCGCCCAGGATCAAGCCCAGGGTGCAGAGAGGGAATTGCAACTTCTTCAGCTGCAGAGCCAAGCGTAGGCACTGGACACTGAGTGGCTGACAGCTGCTCTTAACAGGGCTGGGAGAAATGACGGGCTAGGAGTCTCCATATCCCATCTATCTCGGCCCAACTCCCGTCCTGTCCTGACAAGGGTTGCCACAAGGCACAGCAACTGCTGCTGTGGAACTGAGGTGAAAATCAGAGGCAGTAAGCGGGAAGCCCGCGCCTCAGCAGCCTTGATGGGAGCACTGCTATGCAAACGTTTTTCCACCAGGGGGCAGTAGTCATCTCCTACAAACTGCTGCAAACGAGCTGGGATCCAAGAATCCAAGGCCCAGAGCTGGTCAGGCCAAGCTCCTATTGCAGATTGCGAATCTGAGATGCACAGCACGGTGTGACACCTCAAATACTTGCATAATGATTGTCACGTGGGGTTTGGTGTCTCCAAACATGTTCTACCGGCATGTGTATAGACTCGTGTCTGCATCTCTGTCAGCCCACACTGTGTGGTCAATTAGAGTCAGATTAAAAGCAGCACCATGAATGGCTATCTTTTCTGTCAGTCTGGTTATAAACTTGAAGCTAAACATGATACGAGGGGTCTGTTATAACACCATAATTAATAAGAAGAAACTGAGGCCCGAGGAAGTTAAATCACTTCCAGGTTTTCCTCAGTCACAGGAGCCGGAGCCCTAGTCCAGGTGTGCTGGGTCTAAATTGCTTCCTTTCTTCCCCTCTGGCATTTCTTCCAGACAGCTTGTTACTCAGGGTCGGGAGGTAAAGGAATGAGAGAAGGACGCTGTGGCGCCATCCAGTGGCTTTGCTGGGTAATGTGGATGTCAGGCTGGAGGCAGTGTGAAAGACTGAGGCTGGAGATCTGAAGACTGACATTCTGGGAAACCAACCAGGGCCAGTCTGAGAGACGAAGGCGGGAACTGGTGGAAGAGTCACAGGCCACATCCACTGACCACTAAAGGGACGTGGAAGAGCCTACCCGGAGCAGGGCATCGGGGAGCAGGTAGTGGAATTAGCTGGAGACTCTGAGGTCTGAAAATGCCCCTCCATGCTAGAAAAGGGATGTCTCACCCTGGCGTCTGAGTGGGAAGACGCTGTGCCAGGGGTTCTTAACGCTACACACAGACACACAGACACACAGACACACAGACACACAGACACACACACACACACACACACACACAGACACACACACAGACACACAGACACACACACACACACACACACACACAGACACACACCCTGTAGCTCCCCACCGCCAGGGTGCACCCCAAGCTAGCCACTGCAAGTTAGAGGGGGCAATGCTGGAAGAATTGCCCTCTAGCGGGCTGAGTGGGAAGTGCGCCCTACAGAGCCTTGGTAGGTCCCTACTTCCTGCACCACGGCAGGTGGAGAGGAGAGGACAGACCAATGAAAATACCAACAGGAAAACCACCCGACCACACAACCCAGGCAAGGATGTTTTAAGAATCCCACATGCAGCCTGATGTGGAGGCAAACATCTTTAATCCTACCACTCAGGAGGTAGACACAAACAGATCTCTGAGTCTGAGGTCAACCTGGGCTACAAAGCGAGTTCCAGGACAGAGCTACATAGTAAGATTCTGTCTCAAAATAAATAAGTAAATAAATAAATAAATAAATTTTTAAATTAAACTTTTAAAAATCACTCATGTGATGCTGTAGTTTACCTGAATGAAGACCAGACCAAGGCTGTGGGATTGAGGGATATGTTACTGCTGAGGCCTCTGGACACAGAACCCTGAAGTCCAAGGACCATGCCACTCTCTAGATGGACATCTCCCCTCCTTGAGCCTACCCTGGCACCACCAGCTCCCCCTACCACAGGCTTTAATGACCACCAACCACTTTCCCCTCGGCCACATGTGGCTATGTCTTGGTAACATAAAGAAATGAGTTCTCAGCCCTCCAGGATCAAAGCTGGCCTCCTGCCCCCACTGTTCTCTCTCCTTTGAAGCTACTCTCTTCCACCCTTGAGCCAACCAACCAATGCGATGCAGGCGAGAAGCTCCCAAGCCAGGTCCCAAGCCTAAAATTGTCTACCACGGAACTGTCAGAAGTGTGAACCATGTAAACCAGCGAGATTGACACCCTGGGACTGAGGCCAGTGGCTTGGATGTCTCAACAACTCCCTCAGGACGGAGCCCTCAGAAGCAAGCAGGGAACAATGACATGCTTATTAACAGGGCCTCTCTTAAACGCTTTAATGAGTGCATCCGCTGCTGTGTATATCCAACGATTCCCAGGGTGTAGAGTTCCCCCATCCCACCCCTGCCCAGTGCCATAGGCTGAGATCCATACCTATACACAGCCAACAATGAAACCTCAAGTTCAGAATGGGGACCAGAGGGCCTACAGGACCGGGGGCCAGGGGCTGTATTAGAAAAAAAAACCAGCCTTGGTGTAGGTGAGCGTGAGCTTCTTATCTTTGGGGTCCCCAAACCATCATATCTCCATTTTTCAATTTTTCCATTTTCTTGCAAAACATTTATTCACATTGTTCTTCCTAGAAGCCGAGTGATGTCAGGGGAGCAGAGGCTCATGGTATTGTTAACACAGCCTGGGAGGAACGGGAAGGAGAGGAGAGAGCCAGACACTCTTCAGACTCTCACACCCTCCTCTCAGCCACTTGTGTCTGTCTGTCTGTCTGTCTATCTGTCTGTCTGCCTGCCTGTCTGTCTCTGTGTGGTGATTGGTTCTTTTCCCAAAGGTCAGCAGCAGCAGGGTCTGGAGCCATGGCCCATCTCCATTTTGAGCAGAAGTCTTTTGATCTCCATGCAAAGTGAGGTCAGGGTAACTTCTAGATTAGGTGAGCTGATACCTATGTCGTTCTTGAGTTGAATCCGGAGGCAGGTCCCTGAGTTGGAGGGGGCAGCTGGTGGATGGTGAAGCCAATGTTGAAGAGCTGAGAGAGACACAGGGCTGAGGGGCAGTTGGAATGTGGCTGGCAGGACACAGGGAGCCCTAAGTACAGGTGACAACCATGTGGGTGGTGGCTCTGTTGCATCTCTCTTGACCCCACCCTGGGTGGATATTATTCTCTTTATGGAGCCTGAACCTTCCTCCCTCTTTGCCCAAACCAGCCTGAGGCTTGGTCAGAAACCCAGCTCTATGTACCTCAAGAAGGCAAGAAGGAATTAGGGTGTCAGCTGGTAGGGGGCAGCTGCTGTAGACAGTGGCAGCAGAGGGTGAGGATCAGCTCTGAGAACAAAATGAAGGGCAGAGTGGTCTCTCCCTCAGGGTGACGCATCCTCGGAGCAGGAACTCAGGCTAACTGGATGTGTGAGAGGCTCATGGTGGCTCTCAGACTGGAGAGAAATCGCTTACCGTCCAGAGAAGCATCCTGTTTTCAAGGTTGCAAACCCTTGCCAAAACATCCCGACAGCCTAGTTGAGAGGTGGCTGGGGACGCTGGGTGCCATGTCTCCTCCGGTCTGTGGACACGGGACCGTGCACAGACACAGATGGACAATACACTCCAGACCAGGGCCTCCTTTGAAATTCAAGAAGCGAGGCAAACAGGTTCACAACTAAAAGGATTAAAGGGTCTGGCTGCTAGGAAGAGCCAGGAGAAGGCTCTCCCTGAGGCCTGGAAGGAGATTAAGGTGGGTCAGGTGACAAGAGCTGTCAGATAAGTGGGAAGAGAAATTATGAACAGGGTTTGGGGACCACTGGAGGCTATGCTTGGGCAGAGGCTCTGGCAGCTGCAGGAAGCCTGGCAGGAGATGCCATCCAGAGGGGGCTGCTGGTCACCTACCACTGTATATTTGCCATGAGGCTTGTCTGAGGACACTGGCTGTCCTAGTCCTTGTGTGGCCATGCTGGAGCAGCAGAGCTGCAGGCAGGAATGCGTGCATCTACCTACCTGTCGGGCCAGCAGGGGCAGGGCACTCGCAGTCAGCATAATTCCTGCAGGTCTGAAGGGAAGAATGTCTGAAATCAATCTCTTTAGAAAGTGCTCGGCTTTGGTGGCTAAGGAAGGATTGCAGGCAGAGCTGGATCTAGCTGAAACTGGTTCACTGTAGTGTGAGGCATTACCACCTGAGCTAGGAGCCAGCTGATCCCCAAAGAGCCACCTAGGGAACTTTTTGATACCTTGAACCTGGCTTGGCCGTGGCTGTGTCTGAATGCTTTGGAGATTCTGGAAGGATCCTGTCAGAACTCAGTATGATATTCTAAGCCCAGCTTGTGGCAGAGACCCTGGTCGTTACCTATATGAGAGCCTTGGGTCTGAGAAGCCTGTGTGGTCAGGATGCCTACTAACATATACACACAAGCACACACACTTAGGCACATGTATGTATGCATGAATGTATGTGCACACATTGTATCATGTACACAGTGTGTGTACCCATGCACACAGCGTGTGTAAGAGTATGTATACGTACTTACCACACAGTGTATCCTGTGGAGTGTACATGCACACACTTGTATAGAATGTCCACAAATATGTACTTACTGCATAGAACACACACATCGAGTATACAAGCGTGCATGTGCACGCACACTGCATAGAGCACTTTGAGTATATATGTACGTGTGTATGCACACTGCATTTAACATACACACGAGTATATGTGTACATATGTGTACACACTTGCATAGAATACCGATGCAGAGGAATGTATGTGAACAAAATACACACTCTGCACAGTCGTGCATATGGTGCACATGTGCGTATACACTGTAAAGCTCATACACATGTGGAATGTATGCACATGCATATGAAAACACTATACACACATAGACTTGTGGCACAGCACACATACTGGCAAACACATAGAGCCACACATACATACACACATATGCATGTGGGTCAGTGGAGTAAAAGTTAACAAGTAGGCCTGCCGTTACCCCTCAAGTGCCTGGACACCCTTGGCCAGTACCTGACTGAGTGCATAGCATAAAGGTAGCTACGACAGCCACAGATGAGAAGGCTGGCGACCCCTCACTTGTATCTAACTAGGCCCAGATGCCTGTCCCCTCTAGGCCTTGGCTTTGCCACCCAGACCCTGAAGTCTGCATGCTGTGACCTGCAGCTGAGTCGGAGGCACAGAGGGTATGGGCAAGGCTTGTGGCTGGTGGAGAGCAGGGCGGCGTTCCGGGGTTCTAACGGTGTGTGCCTGGATTGTGCTTGCTGCCTTGTGTTCTGACTTAGGCCTATGGGTTCCTGGCTGAGAGTACTGACAGTTCACACAGGACACTTTTGTGGGATGTGTCAACTTATATGGGGACAGAGTTTATTACTGAAGTGGTCCGATGACTAGAGGTCTCAGCCTGAGAATGGGGTGAGAGAAACAGTTCAAGAAACAATAAAAAGAACCTCGAGAATCAGGATTCTCTTCTTCTTCTTTTGTTTTGTTTTTGTTTTTGTTTTGGGTTTTCTGAGACAGGGTTTCTCTGTGTAGCTCTGGCTGTCCTGGAACTCACTCTGTAGACCAAGCTGGCCTCAAACTCAGAAATCCGCCTGTCTCTGCCTCCCAAGTGCTGGGATTAAAGGCATGTGCCACCACTGCCCGGCCAGGATTCTCTTCTACCCTCTCTTCTGCCTAGCCATCCCTCCACCTGCCTGCCCACCTTTCCACCCACCCTCCCTTCTCCCTGCCCACCTTCTGGCTCTAATGTCCTTTCTTTCCAAGCAGATGACAGTCAAGCGTGGGCTTCTGCCATGTCACTGATGAATGTGGCCGCTCTCACCTGCCAGGATTAGTAGAGAGAACTCGGCCATCTTTTAAGGAGAGAAATGGGGTTCTGGGGCAGGGGGGAGGGCTGGACCCAGAGCAGCAGCAAGCAATGAAGCCTCAGGATAGGTACAGACTGAGGATGGACCCTGGAGAGGGGGAGGGGCTCCTCTATAGGGATCTTATGAGGAAGACACACCCCAGGTCCTCTCTCCGCCACTCAAGGGAATATCACAGGCTCTGACAGATCCTTGTGTGGACCCCAACTTGGCCTCTCTCTGGCTGCTGGCCAGGTGAATAGCTTTGGTTTTTGTCAGTGACAAGGAATGATAGAGTGTACCTGGGGGATAAGCAGAGAGCTCCCTGGGGACAATTCAGCATGAGTGACATGGTGTGGCTCACTAGTGTTCCGGACAGGTGTGTGGGTAGATGGACCACAGCTAGTGGGTCTGTTTACCATGGCCCTACCTGCCCTGGTTGGACAAGGTCGCAGTCTCTGTGAGGCTTGTTGACTGTCCTTCCTTTACTTCCAGGTATCTTGAGCCCCTCTCTTTCTTCCTGCGATGACCTTAGATGTCATTCCCAGCTGCTGTGGGGCTGGTTGTAGATACAGGCCCTGGCACAGGCTTTGCCTTCATTTTTTTCTGCATGCTGTGGTATGGCCCACTGTACCTGGACTGGCCTTAATCCTACTCCCACCCCTGCCATCGGGGCTCAGGGTAGCTCCCCTCTCAGGCTCAGCTCTGTGTCATTACGTACCCAGGTGCTTTCCATTTGGGGCAAGCTACTGATGTCTGAAGTACAGGCACCAGTGCAACGGGCTTCCCTGGCCCTTAGGGAGTATTCAAGGGCCTGAAGGTATTCATCGAGTACAAAGCTCCTGGGCCAGGGAAGGTGATCCTATCGGTTTCTGGAACATGCTATCGCCTTACTTCGTCCCCTTGAGATGCTGCTGATGTACCTGAGGAGTTGTTGGACATAGCCAGCTTCTATTCTGTCTCAAAATGTGTCCAGAATGGCCGTCGGCCACCATCCTTGGTAAGGAGAGAAAAGTGACACCCTGACACTCAGCATTTGAGGCTGCCACGTGCTGTTAGCAGTTGTGGTTGACAGTGCAGCCAGCAGAGTGTAGAATGCACGGCTGCAGCCATGCTGGGTCCAGTCCCCTGCCTGACCAGCTGCTGCCCTTTTGGTCCTGGGACCGGCAGACTCAGGGTGAGCCTGAGGAGAAAGTGTGCAGAGCCCCTGCCCTTCCGTTCTTTTGCACAAGCTCAGAAACCAGATTTTCAGATTCCACAGAGGGAGTGAGGCTGAAAGCAGACACAAACCTTGGAGTCACACAGTCTCAGCTGCTGGAACTCTATGTGCTATCCCTTTAGGAACACTCCTTGGAGCTAGAAACACTCCTGGCACGTGGACCAAACTGCTTCAAGCAGAAAAGCCTGCTTAGAGCTGGGTGTGTCCGCATGGCCAGCGAGTGGATGCTCCCTCATCCACAGACCCACAGCTAATCCTGCTGATCCTACCCCCTGGGAGTTGCTCCCTCTACCTGGAGTCCCCAAGCAAGGTTCTCTGAGGCTCAAAGACTCTCTCTGCTCCCCATTGTCCCTGCAAGTAACGCTTCTTCTCCCTCGACCATCAGGTCTTGGCCACACCCCTCCTCTAAGAGCTGTCCTCAAGGTGGCCTGTCCTTGTTGCTGTGGAGAACTTGATAAGCCCTGCTTGCCATGGGAGTTCAGTGTGACTCCGAACAAGCTCACTTTAATCCCTGTGTCCTGTTCTGGGTGTGGAGAGGTGTCATCCAAGCTGCTGGACAGGAGGTGTTCACCCCACTTTCCTCGTATGACCCCCATACCCCTAACTCTCTACACCAGAAGGATGTCACACCTCTGAACAGGAGGCGAGGAGGCCGGCATCCACAGTTGACTCATAAGCTGCTGGGAATCAGGGTGAGGCCCAGGCAGCCCGAGTGTCCCTTGAGGATGGAGATTAGGGTGGAGCAGAGTCCCTGGATCAGCAGCACCCCTGGGTGACTAGGCTTCACTTTCACTCACTTTCAAGTTGACGTTCTAACTACAAATTGCATTTTCTTGCTGGATGCCTACAAAAAGTCCGCATAAACTCTGGGTTGCTATGCTAGCCCCTCCCCCCACCCCAGAAACACCCTTCAGGACTAGGAAGGAGCTAGCCACCTGGAAAGGGGTGTCCCCAGGGAACTGTGTCCCATCAATGGGTGCACATGCTGGAGCACACCTGTGGAAAGAAGTCAGGGGACAGTTCTCTTCTTCCGTCATGTGGGCTTTGAGGCTCAAACTCGGGTTGTTAGGCTTGGTGACAGAGCCTTTACCTGCTGACCCCTCTCACCAATGGAGTTTAATCAACAGCAATTAATTCTTTATTAAGAAAGCCCAAGCTTTGGTAACCTGCCTCAACCCTTGAGCAAACAGTTGTGTATTCCAAGGGCTCCTTTCACCTAGCACTGGGACGGTGGCTGAGGGGACAGGGAACAGTGTCTCTATACCTTCCTTTGAGGTGACTGCCTTAGGCAACAGCTCTCTCTCAACTGGGCAACCAGGGCTTTGGCAAGAAGGTGGGTGGGAAAGGAAATGGACGGCTGGGGACTCCATGACCCAGGGCCACCACTGTAAGACACATCTGTTCCATGGCAGACGGTAAGAAGATGGGGTAACCTGAGATCTGCTGAAGAACAAGACATGGAGCCCACACAGAGTGCAACCCTGTGTGCACACAAAAAGCACTTGAGTATCTCAAAAATGTGCACCACCGCCCTGATGGTAAAGCCTCCTCCTCCTCAGCATGGCTCTCCCAGACACTCAGATCAGTCACGCTTAGCCTCATGCTGAAGACTTCCCCCTGGGCTTCTAATACTCCCAACTCAGTGCTTACTGGGGATGTATCAACAATGTGGGGGTTCCAGGAGTCTGGGGGGGGACTCATGTAGGATGGGTGTTGCCAGAGACCACCAGGACAAGGCTTCTGACAGGAGTTTGCATGGATACCGTGCCAAGGTCAGCAGAGCAGATGTGAAGGTGGCATAGCAGGAGCCTCTGCTCACACTGGCCTAGCCCAGGCTCCCACTGGAAGCATCCAGGAAGCAAGGTAGTGGAAGATACATGTGCCAGCTGTGTGTGCTCTTGGGAGAGACCAACCCTTTTGCGGTGTCATATAAGAATGAAGTTTCTTGGTGACATCATCAAGACACAGTGTGTGAGTGTCAATGAGAATGGCCTCTGGAGAATCATGTTTGAATAGTCGATCTCCAGTTGGTGGAACTGTTTGAGAAGGGTTAGGAGGTGTGGCCCTGGGTGTGTCACTGGGTCAGGGCATTGTTCGAGGTGTCAAAAAACTCACATCATTCCCAGAATACTCTCTGCCTCCCGCTGCAGCTGGCTGTTCCTGCTGTCATCCAGGCCTTTGCTTTGCCGTTATGAACTTTAACCCTGTGAAATGGTAGGCCCAAATGAGCACTCTTTTATACGTTTCCTTGGTCGTGGTGTTTTGTCACAGCAATGGAACAATATCTAATACACACAGAAGGCTGAGTTTTCTTGGTGTCTGATCCCAGGACCCAAGAGAAAGCCTATCACCTAAGTGACTGTTTCTATCTGCAGTGGGTAACTGTGGGCCTGCTGTCTAGCATTTGCTCCCACTTATGGTAGCATACAGCACGCAGCCTCAAAAGAACCACCTCTGTGCAGCCAGATGTGGCCAGGTGTGGCCAGATGACCCAGCGACCTATATTTAAAAACTCAGGTGGATCTCTGGTTCTGTCGATCCCTGTTGTGTGTGACTGGAACCCTTCTGGGATCTTGCTAGGTCTCTTTGGGAGCATGCGTTAATGGCCACACCACAGCTTCACAAACTGTTTGACAAAGTCCAAACAGGACACAAAGAGAAGCGATGACCAGCTAACCTGGGGAGGGGGCAAAGCTCAGAGGCGGGGTGATTTTCCAGCATGCATCGTGTCCTGGGTTCAACCCTCAGCTCTGCAAAAAGGAAGAGAAGAAAAAACAAGAGGCAAGGGATCCTTGGAGTCTCGGAAGGGAGAAGTAAAATCTGGAGAAATCTGGACAGGAAGTGAGTGAGACCTACCTGGGAGAGACTTCTGATTGCCAGAAGACCTGAGAGGTTAGAAGACAGGAAAAAGGAGCAACTCTAGTCCTGGTCCCATCCCCCACACCTGCCCCTGACGTCTGTTTTGGGGTTGGACCACATCTACATAATGTCTCCTGTTTACCCGTGTCACAAGCACCCCAAGCCTGTGACAGCTGAAGGGACTGGAAGCCAGACTCTGTCCCCTCTGAACCTCTAGCACACACTAGCCCGCCCCCTCACAGTGGCAGCCACCAGCCCCACGGGGACTGAGACTCCCTTATAGCAAGTGGGCTGTGCACAGGAAATACACCCTGCTTCCCCAAACTCCGCTGAGATCAGCTGAAGAAAAAATTTTAAGTTAGTTTAAAAACAATGTAACAGAAAACCTCGATTCATAAACACAAATAGTTAAAAACACAGATTCACTAGCCCAAGGCCATCACAAATTACTGACCTTTGAGTTGTTTTGAACTAGTTCTGTTTGTTGTTTTGTTTTGTTTTGTTTGGGAGGGTCTCACTCTATCCTTGAACTCTCGGTCTCCTGGACTCAGCTTCCTGAGTGCAGAGCTCACAGTCATACACCAGGGCACGGACTTCTTTTTTTCTTTCCATGTGGCTTCTGGAAATGCAGATTGTATGTGTGTCTTGCATGATGCTCCAGCTGGATATTACTGGTCTCAAGGCAGAGATTCCCGTTGATAGTTATAAACCTAAGCGGCTGACAAGAAAGACAGAAGTTCAGTAAGGGTGTTAAAACGAGGCAGGGGTGGGAGGCAGGTGCCTGGCACGGGGACAGGGCTGGAGATACTGGTTCTGTTGAAAGCCGTGGCGGGGCTCAGCAGGTCTCAGCTGGGTTCTCTCCAAGTTCCCACTGATAGATCTACTACCCCCATCTGCCACCCCTCCTCAGAGCCCTAACACTTCCAGTTTGGGGAGGCCTAGGCTCTGTGCAGACCTCCGACCGCCGGTCCGGAGCAGGCAACTTGGGCCCTGGTCAGCGCATCCGGAGGAAACTCTCATTGAGAATGCGTGGCCTGTCGGGCGCTATTGCAGGAGCCTCGGATAAAGTGTTCCTATGAAGAAGATAATTGAAAATCAAAAAAGACTTTGTTAATTTGATTAGGCAGAGCCGTAGTTGAATTGTTCTTCATCAAAAGAGATTTAATTTTGACATGCAATTAAACCCTTCTGTTATAAGATCTGCCCCTCGTGCTAGGGAAGGGCTTGGCAGCCTGGGGCGGGGTGTGGTATTCGCAACTGTCGGGTGGGGGTGGGGCTGAGAAGGGGAGAGGTGTGGGGATTGAAGGACCAATGGAAATTATGGCGAATGAGGTCAGGGCATGGCCGAGGAAGGGGTTATCACAGGTTGTGTGTGTGTGTGTGTGTGTGTGTGTGAGAGAGAGAGAGAGAGAGAGAGAGAGAGAGAGAGAGAGCCTCAAACTGACAGGATTTGAATACAGAAGCTGATTGGCAGGAGAGAGGAGGCCAGAGAGGCTTTCCAAGAAGAGGGAGGTCACTTCCAGGAATCTGGGAGGATGCAGATTCCTGTGGCCTTAAAGACTCCCAGAGGTTAAATCTGGGGGCATCTAGTTTTGTGACACGGGGTGGCTTTCTGGAAACATGAAACCATGACACATTGTGGAGCTGAACCTAAGGGCTGAGGGCAGGGTGGCAGGTTGCCAGTGTGGCCTAGCACAGCTGGTGTGAGACTAGCCTGATGAGATTGGGAATAAGTAGAAAGGCTATTGAACTGTTGACCACTGGGACAGGTGTGCAGACGGGCCACACAAAACCTTTGCAAGTGAGCTGCTTGGCGGAGGGGCAGAAGAGACACAGCTGTACTACTAATGGGAGATTTGTCAGCTCCAGGAAGTAGGCAGGGCCATTCTGTGCAGGTCACCATGTGCTAGAGAGGGTGGCAGTCTGAAGTAGTCGAAGAGGGGACATCGGTTACCTTGAAATGCTTCCCTCAGGTTAAAAATAGCCCCGCCCCCATCCCAAGCCCCACCTCCACCCTAGCCTTCACCCCCCAACCCAGCCCTCACCCCGCCCCATCCCAAGCCCCATCCCCACCCTCACCCTGGCCCCACCCCAAGCCCCACCTCCGCCCCAGCCCTCACCCCCCCGCCCCCGCCTCCACCCCACCCTTCACACCCTCCCCCATGGACTTCAGAGCTCCTTCTGATGCGCTGTCAGCCTGGAGAAGGCCCCCTGAGCCCCACCACAGGCTTCCCAACCCCTTCGCACTTTCCTCCTTGGCTGTGCTATGGTGAGGAAGGTTCCAGATTACTGCCAATGCTCCAGCGGGGCAAGGGTTATGCCCGGCAAGGCAGAGATCGATGTTCTGTAATTAGTAATTAGTAAATGTTTTCTAGACCCATCCTAGAAGTCGGGGTCATTGTGCAAATAGCTACATTAGCTCCACAACCCAGCCTGGACCTGAAAGGCCTGAAGACAGAGGGTGCGGAGGATGAGCAGCCTCCCAGGCCGACCCCCACCCCCACCCTGCCTGCCCGGGAGGGAGTAGGCACAATCCCCTGAGATCTCTCGCTAGCCACCACCAGATTCCTAATGCTCCGTGCCAGGACACTCTCCACCTGCTTGCTCTGAGGAGAGAGATTGTAGGCATGGGCAGTCCTGGAGACCCCCTGACTTAACAATGACCCCTCACTGAGGGATTCCTTAGGGCTTCCCTCTTCCTGGCGCACTCACAGAGGGTGACCCCTTCCCCATCGCCTTCCCAACCACTCAGACCTGTGAACTGTGGTTGAACTGGATCTGCAGTCCTATAGGGAGAAGCTCGCTTTCTGAGGAAGAGATGCTTTCAAAGTTCTTGCGCTCATGGAGGCTGGGAGTGTAGACCTGTGAATCGGGGTCGTTTTAGACGCCTTGGTGTTACCAGACATTTGTATAGAGCAATTTAATATTATATATCGGCACCTTCCCCCCACTTAGAAGTTTATGAACTTATTCTGGTCTCTATTTTTTTTAATGGAGCTAGAGAGATGATTCCGTGGACACAGTATGTACTGCAGAAGCATGAGGGCCCACGTCTCTAACACTTTCATAGAAATCAGCCTTGGTGGCCTCGCCTGTAACCTCAACGCGAGTTGGAGATCCGGATTCCAGAGGTGCTGGCAGCCAGCCCAGCCAATCGGTGAACTCTGAGGCTCACTGGCAGCCAGCCTAGCCAATCAGTGATCTCTGTAACTCATGGGCGGGCCAGCTAGCCCAGCCAATCAGTGATCTCTAGGTTCAGTGAGAGACCTTGTCTCAAAGAGAGACTTTGCCTTCTGGCATCTACAAGCATACGCACAAGCAAGCACACATGCACACATGCATGCACACACATGCATTTACTTCCTTCCACTCATAATTTCTTTCATAGGCCTGGGCCTGGTGGAGATACACCCTGCTGTCTCATGGGAGGGCTGGCGATCCCTCAGTGACAGAGACAAATGCATTTCTGAATCCCTGTCCTCATGGAAGGCGGATCCATATGTGATGTGAACCCAAGGAAGTGTTTGCTTCCCCTGAGGTATTTTGAGGGAGCAGAAGGGAGACAAGAGAGGAACTTCACACACCCATACTCCCTCTATCAAGCCAACCCTGAGCAACGGCAGCCCTTCCCTTCCGTGTGATCGCCGCTTAGCCTGAAGCATCCTGATAGGCGAGCAAAGTTGACCCACCCGAGACTAAAGTCAGTGTTCTTCCAAAGCCCAGCTCCTTCTCCTATGGGAGTCACAGTCTCATCTGCGACTTGGGCATCGCTGCACTGAAGAGAGTGTCAGCAGAGAACGTTTGCTGAGCACATATTGCGGGGGTGGGGGCATAGGAGTGGACTTGTGGGTCTGTGTGCATGTGTGTTCTGTTTCAGCATACATGTGTCTGCATGTGTCCATGTCTGTCTGGGTGAAAGTGGGCATATCTGTATACACACACCCATGTGTATATTCACATGTCTGGACGCACACGTACATAAACTCAGCCAGGTGGTTTACGCCCTGAGTGAAGCCTCTGAAAGAGCAAATGTTGGATGGAGGAAGTTCTTGCAGTTAGTCAAGAACTCTGCCTGCAGCCTCCTTAGACAGTCAGACCTCGGGAACCTCCGGCCTCAGTTGGCAGCTCAGCTGAGAGGCTTGAGACTCACATATCTGCCTGAATGGTATGGAGAGGAGCCCTGGGCTGTAGCTCAGAGGAGGACAGTGAGGGACAGATGATTTACGGACTCGGAAAGAACCACCCTCCCCCACCCCCGCCCACCGCTGCCATTGGGTACCAGAATGTCAAATGAGCCTGTGGCTACCTTACTTTCCTGTGCTCAGCTGGTCTCATGATGGAGGGACAGGAGAGAAGATTTCTGTCACCATTTGAACCTCCTGCTGAGGCCAAGTGTTCCTCCCCCACCTTGCAAGACTTGTACAAGCACAGTGTCCAGGATGCAGCTCCCTTGATTTAACACCCTGCTGGGGCACTCAAGTCACCCTTGGCTGTGTCTGATGGTGATGCTCTCCTACCTGGGGTCTACTGGCTGGCCACTCTGAGACTGCATGCTGCTAGGGTCCCAGAACCTCTCTCACTTCCTACCTGAGCCCCATGGGAGCCACAGTGATCCTCACTCATTAGTACAAGCACTAGGGACACAGTAATGAAGGCAGATATCAGCCCAGAATGGTGAGCACACTGATGGAGCACGGGACGTGTTTCCTCCCGCCCCATCGGCTGAGCAATCGGGAGATTCAATCTTGCATGTCATCCAGGTCTTATCTTTCCTCCTGAGGCTTCTGTTTGTCTATGTCTCAACAAGGACCGTGCTCGGGTTCGCCTCCGTGTTTTACATCCTGTCTTAGAGTTTATCAGGCCCGTGACCTTGTCGAATCGACAGGCAGGCTTGGCTGTTAATAATTTCCTACTTGAAACTTCTAGTGTGGGCAGAGGTGGCTAGCGGTTTGGAAGTGGGTGGGTAAGCTAGTAGACCAACCCCAGCAGGAGTCCAGTGTTTTCTGTTCACCTGGACCCAGACCTAGGCTGGCTGGCGGCATTTTGAAACTAGACTGTCCTTGCTTATTTGTTTGTTGTTTTGTTTTATTATTTCTTACAACAGAAACTGAAAGTGGTGTCCTGCTGGCCATGTGCCACCACAACAGTGCTGTGCTGGGCTGGTCCCTGGAGGAGTGCCTCAGGATTAGGGGACAGAGAAGGTGTTTAGGAAGGTGAGGTGTTCACCTCAGTGCTGGAGGGAAGAGCAGAGCCTGAGCCACTTTTCTATAGAGTACAACCATGCTCAGTCCTGACACCACAGTCAGCCACCGTCTGCTGATGGTCACGTGGTTGTTGCTGAGCAGTCCCAAGGCCTGGACTCAGGTTTGGGTGTTGTAAGTGTAGACCTTCACTCTGAGAGATAAGCTCACATGACCCATAGCTGAGAAAGGCTTCACAAAGAGGTTAAGCAACTTGTATGAGGTCATACAGCGGTGGAGACAGGGACCTTGGTCAGTGTAGAAGCTGTCATGGGGCAAGATGGAGGGGTGTCCCTGCAGTCTAATGAGGAGTACCCTGAGAAGTAAGTTCAACTTGGAGTCTTCTGTGTCTCTTACAGTTCCCTTAGCCTCTGCCACGACACCACATCTCCATGTCTACTTGCACAAATTGGGGTGACCACTGGGGGCTTCCACTGCCCACTGTTACACTCTGGGTGCAGACAGCAGTTAAAGAGGGATGTTACCCTTCCCCAACCTGGTGTCTTGACCTCTGATTGTCCCCAGTTAGCCTCCTCCACACCCCCAAAGGCACTCTGTGCCCCAACATAAGAGTTCCTCTGGACCAGCTATTGGGATATACAATTACCATGCTCTGCTTGGACTCAGAGCTGGTCTTAGTCAGGTGCCACAGCTATCATTGGCTTCCTCTCCTCCCCCTCAGTCTCCCACTATGCCCTGCAGCAGGTCGATCCCTAATCAATGCTTGTTGACCGACTGTCTGGGAAACGATTTCCCTCCATTCTTTCTGGAGTGCTCTGTGGAAAAGAACAAATGCCTAGGAATGAGAGGACCATACTCCAATTATCCAGGGTGACATCTTGCTCTAGGTGCTCCTTGATGACACAGAGATGGAGTGCTGGTCCTAAGGGAGTCTGGGTGGGGTCACTGGGAGCTGGTGAGGAGAGGGGGTGATGTAAGCAGAATTGTTGAGGCTGGGATGGGTTGAAGGAGCCAGC